GTAAGTGGATGACAGATGGGTGGTGGGTGGTGGTGGCGGGTTGCGAGTGGTGGTGGTGGTGGTGGCGGGTGGGTTGTGGGTGGTGGTGGCGGAAGACGGTGGTGGAAAATGGTGGCAGGTGGTGACTAGTGTTGGGTGGTAAAAAAAAAAAAAACTGAAAATTCAAAACAGAAACATATTTTTTGTGTTTTCATTTTTTAGCGAAATTTATAAACTGAGACCATTTATTTATAAATCAAAAATTTTACCAAACAAGTTTTTATTTGAGTTTTTTAAATTTTTATAAATATAAACAGAAAACTAAAGTGTTACCAAATGGCACCATAATAATCATAAGAAGAAGAAAGGCATGCAAACATAGAAATTTCGTATCAAATAGATATAACTAAACTAGCTCTTACAAAGCCTTAAAACCCTACTTGAATGAGCCAAATGAACCCCTCTTTATCAAATTTTCAGGTTTCCTTGCAAAAATTAGCCAAATTTAAACGAAATTTTCAAAAAGTCAAATTTCAACAAGTTTACCCCAACTTCAAATGGTTAATTTGGATAAAAAGCATTAGGCCAAAATATCAAAATATTATGCAAAATTTGGAAATTTTCTGATTCAGAATTCGAGGCAAAACATGTATTAAATATTTTAATTAATTCCATTGAAAAGTTGGCCAAATATTTTCATAGGCTGAAATTTGGAAAAATTCACTCAAAGTAAGTAATAAATTTAAAATTCAGATTTTCCAAATTTGGCCATGAATTTAAAATTTTGGGAAAATTCAGATTTGGACAGATTGACCAAATTGAATGAAATTCACATCTTAAAACCCTTATCACAATTTATACCTAATACATTGTCATGTCCTACTTGGTTGATAAGTAGTTAATTCAAATGTGATTACCTAGTTTCATCAGTTTGCTGGTGACTCTATCTAAATCAACTTTGTGAGATGTCTTCTAATGTGTGATTTCCTCGTACCTCAAGTTGTTGCCCAAAATTCTAATTATTAACCTCGTATTTTGAAACTTACTTTTTTTACATGGCTTGCCAATAAGACTATATGAGGAACCTAAAATGTCCCCACCATAATCTCACCCACCACTCATACAACGTAACCAAAAAAAAATAAAATAAAATAGTGTTTTGTATCACATAACTAATAGCATATTGCAATTGCTAGAATAACCAGAAATTAAAATATAAATGAAAATGAAAATCCATTTTTATGGATGAAGATGACTTTGCATGTCCAATAACATAGTCGGACAAAAAATTTATTGTTCCTTCCACTTGTTTTCTTCATACTTTATTCAAAGAAACAAAAATGAATGAGAAAATCATTTTAGAACTTTTTCTCCTGGACCCAAATGCACATGAGAAATTTGGAGAGAAAATTATGGGATACGGTAACACCTCATGAAATAAGATTTAGATATTTTCATAACTTTCATCCCACTTTCCTTCCCAGCCAAACAAGGGAAGGTAACAAATCATTTTCCCTTCTACTACATTTTTTTTCTCTTCTTTTGTTTCTTTTGCTTTCAACCTATCAAACATGGCACTAACAGTAAGTTCATGAACCAAATTACAAGGGAAAAGCAACTTGTTTGTCATAAGGGTGGTCAAAGAGAACTTGGAATTAGCTGATCAAAAAAGAGCAGTCGGAATTAAAGAAAAAGGTCATATTTACTCTTTTATTGGCAACCATCCACATAGTTACTAGGTAGTCTCTTCTAATCTTAAACTTATCATAACTACTTGGGAAGTTGAGGTTTACTTATAGACAGTTGAGTCTGAGCATTCACATTAAGTCTCCATATCAATGAGCAATTATTCCATGGAAGGAATGTTCAAAAAATGGTTGGACAAATAATTAAAAGGTCCCAGAAGTAATTCATAGCAGAAGCGTTTCTTTTTTGAGTAAGTTTCTCATCAAGTTTTTCATTCAGCTTTATCATCAAGCTAGCAACAGATTTAGAGTGCTGATGGGGGTCCTCTATTACATAGTGATAAGAAGGTCTACATTTATTAATCCTATAGCATGGTAATTTACAAGACAGATACAAGATACCTTAACAAATATAAGCATTTGGAAGCAACAATGAAATTGTGAACTTCGTAAGATACGTTTTAAAGGAACTACAATTCTGATTTGCTGGCAAGTTGAGAGGAAAAACCAACTACAGTTGACTACAAGTTTCACAATCGAGAGAATAAAAAGAATAAGATTTGTCATCCTCAGGTAAATTGACATTGTAAAGTTCATTAACAGTCAACAGAAGACTGATTGATGGCTTGTGGCAGTTTTCTCCAACAACCAATAGGCTCAAGCTTAAGGACTTGTTGCCATGGTAATTAGTCTGAAATGGAAAAACTACAGCCAAATAAGCCTTTGCTTTTCAAAGGGTACATACCCTATGACTAATATATCACAAAAGTATGCATGGTAACTAGAAAGACGTTATATAAATAATTGTAAAAACATTAATTTTTCAACATCAATGCAATCTTTGAACAGAAAACCGAAAGGAGCAAATCAATAGGAGAAAACAGACAATGAGTTCTTATGTCAAACTTATGCTCTGATGCTCGAACATTCAAACAAATAAACAATTACAAAATGAAAAAACCAGCAAAGATAGAGCGGTCCTATAAGGAAAATGGAATTGGATAAATATGTTATAGCAATCAGTTATGCCACACTTGACCTCTAGCTGTGTATTGCACTACATGAATAAATAACACTCATAATTTCTTGATTTCAAGATGAATGGCAATCCACAACCAATAATTATCTACTTAGATCATATAAACTTGCTTCAACGAATAACACAAACCAACAGATAACACATAAAAAACCAATCAAATCAAATGGCCACAACTTTAATAAGCAAAACCCAACAAATCAAACAAAAAAGCTAGAATGACAATTTTTTACCTCTATAGCTTTGCTTGGTGCAACCCGAATCACATTAACAAGATTGCCTCTAAACAATCCTTTCCATCCATCAGTTTTCATAATATTATGGAACACTTCAGTAGTCGTATTGCCACTACTCCCAACCATCAAATGTGTCCTAATTGTCTCCAACGGCGCAACAGCGGTCCTCGACACCGCCCCAGCAACCGCCCCGCTTATCAACCTCCTCAATGAAGGATTTGCAATCTTGATTTTAAATTTAGTCCGACCCTTCTTCTTCTTCAAATTCCCTTCCTCATCTATCAATTCTGGAACACCAACAATTCGAAAACCCTCTGGGGAAGATACATATTTGACATATAAATCTGTGTAAGGTACCTTGAATCCACCATTGTTGTCTCGAGAATTTGGTGAATTAGGTGAAATGCCAAAACCCATATTACCCACTTGTCCAACACTAGCAAATAAGCCTCCTGGGTGGAAAGAACCCTCTGGGAGACTCCATTGAAGCCCCAATCCAGAACTTGAGAAAAACCCATCTTTTTTGACCTCCAAAACTTGCAAATCTCTTCTACCCATTAATCAGAATCTCGTGAAAAGGCCTCTGTCTAGGGTTTAAAACGCAGACGAATCCATTTTTTTTTCAAGGTTTTGAGAGATTCGAGAGTGATGAAGAAGGAAAAGATTCGATTTTAGGCAAATGGGTATTCAAAAAATCCATTTTTGACAACTGGGTGCTCGAGAAAACTAATGGAATAGATTCGATTTGAAAAGAACAAAGCAAGCAAAGAGCTGTTTGGAGATACAAGATATTCGGGTGATGATAAAAAAAATAAATGTGGGTTTGAGAGAGAGAGAGAGAGAGAGAGAGAGAGAGGGTGAAGTGGGGGATAGGGTTTTAAAATGAGGAAGAAAAACGAGAACCAGGTGGTGGAACGATGGAAGTAAGGCCTCTGCTTAGAGGGGCCGCAGATGAATCCGTTCTTTGTGGAACGCAAAATTCTCATACAATTTTTTAATTTTTTTTAAAAAAAATAATTATAAATAATTATTGATTGATTTTTATTAAATTATTAAAAAAAATCTTATTATATCTTAATTTAAATATTTTATATAAAAAAAAGTTAATTAATTAATTTATAAATTTGAAAAAAAAGTTAACTAATTAGTTTTAAAATTACAAAAAAAAAAATTATTATGTTTTGATTTACATATTTCAAAAGAAAAAGTAATTAATTTATTTATAAATTTAAATTTAAAAATTTGAAAGGAAAGTTTTCTACGGTAATTAGTTTTTATTTTTTTTTAAAAAATCCTATAATTTTTATTGAATCATTTAAAAAAAAATCTTATTATACCTTGATGTACACATTTTTTTTTTTTAAAAAAAAGTTAATTAATCCATTTAAAAATTTAACCTTAGAAATTTGAGAATGATCAATTTTAAATCAGAGAATTTTTTTTAAGGGTCCCTGGTATTAAGATTTTATCCAATGTTTTCATAATGTCTAAGGTTCGTCAATATCGATCCAGAGAAATTTCAATCCCAAAGAAATTATTTGAACTTCCCAGAGAAATTCTCTCTAGAGAAATTTCGGACTTCCTAAAGGATTTGTCTGAATTCAAACCAGAGAAAATTGAAATTTCTCTGGCTTTATTCACAAATTTATTTGTGTTTGTTCATAATTTTAAACCAGCGAAAATTGAGTATAATGACAAACTCATATGAACAACGTGAGTGTACATATATATACACATATAGTCTTCTCACTAAGATGATAGGATACAAACGCAGTGTTGTGAATAGCGAGCTCTCAAAGTCGATCTAGATATATGTCCTCCGATTATGGGTATAGTGATCAGAATCTTCAATTGAGTATAATGACAAACATAAAACCGCACTTAGAGTACAAATTTAATAAAGAATTACTAATAAAGCGATCCAAACAAATCCCACATCGTAAAATCAATGAATGTACTTGCATTGCTTCAAAGACTTGAGAGCAAAAAGCAAATTCATTCAAAACAATAACATAAGTATAGTCATTAGTAATAACTCCTTCAATATCCATTTGCCGAAACAACTCTACACCTACATCACCCATTCCACACTCGAAATAACAAAAAATCAAAGCATTCCATGTAACTAAATCTCTCATTAGCATTTCATCAAACACCTTATTGGCTGAATCCATGTCCCCAACTCCTGAATACATCCTAAGAAGATTGGTCCCAAGAAATTCGTCTGATAAATAGAAAACCTTAACAACCTCTACATGAACTTGTTTTCCAAATTCAAAATCACAACAAGGCAATACAATCGAATAAGTATAATTATTCGACTTAATCGAACAACGACGCATTTTTATGAAATGGGTCGAAGCTTGTTGCAATCTTTAATGCTGAGCAAAACCAGAGATGCCTATATTCCACGATTGATAATCCTTTTCGGGTATAGAATCGAAAAATGTTAATGCTTGGGAAACTAACAAGCTAGATTTGAAGAACCCAGATAGAATGGTGTTGTAAGAGACAAGGTTAAATTGAGTGTACATAGATACACATATAGTCTTCTCACTCTAAGATGACAGTACACAAACGCAGTGTTGTGAACAGCGAGCTCTCAAAGCCAATCTTGATATTTGTCCTCTGGTTATGGGTAGTGATTGGAATCTTCATTGGAGCAATCATCGTCCTTATCCTTACTCTTCTCAATTGAAACCCTAGAGAGAGAGAAAGAGAGAGAGAAGAGAGTAAAGAGAGAATGAGAGTCTAGGTGTGATATAAGGATATAGGGGTGAGGGGACTTAGACTACAAAAGAAAATATTGTGGACCTATTCCATTACTAAAAATTTGAGAGGGATGGTAGACTAATTTTCCCTTTTAAAATTTAAAATTTTGTATACTAAAATATAGGAATCAATTCACATCTTCCATAATTTATTTCTCTTGATCTTTTTAATTTTTTAAATAGTTAAAAAGTATTTTATTCGCTAGCTTTTATTTCCTTATAATGTGATTAATGATCCATTTTAAGATCTTGTTTCTCCCACTAAATATTATATAGGTTTTTTTTTATTATTTTTATTTTTTTTATTTAAGATAGTGTACATCAATGCAATAAAGGATCCAAAACTCCTTTCAAACATTGATGATGTGTTTGGTTCATGGTTTTAGGTAGAAATTTTGAAAAAGAAAATAAAAAAAGAGTGTGAAATAAAGTAAAATGTAATTATATTTTATTCACATTTTATCTAGTGGTGAAACCAAAATTTTGGCTCAGAGGGGGCACCATTAAGTTGAAATTTTAACAAAAATTATAATCAAACTTAACTTAATTTTTATTTGATGGAAGAAATAAAAAGTAATTCAATGCAAATGTTATATTTAAATATAAGTTTGAGTTAATCAATTTTAATCATTTTTTGTTTTTAATTTGATTTTATATATGATGATCACATGGTTTGAAAAATAATCACATGCCTTATAACATATGAAAACGAAATTATATTAAGTTGCACACACAAAAGAGATGTGGTTAGGAATAAAAAAGAAAATCATTAATAAAAGTACTTTTTGCGACCGTTACAAGCCGTTACAAATAAGCAAAAGGCTTTTTGCGATGACCCATATGACAGCAAATGGAGGTTGCCAATGTAGGGGTGGCAAATACTTTTTGCAACCATAAAATAACATTCGCAAACTATTTGTGACCGCCTAATCTACTTATGGCGATTAATGTTTTGCCGTTACAAAAAAGTTTTAAAAAATGCCTAAAATGTATTAATGAACATCTTGTTATCGTTGCCAAAAAAAAAAATAAAAATGCCTACAATCATATATACATATATATGTATATATATTCAAATATTATATACAATAAATGTAAAGACATTTGCAAAAATCTTAACATTTATGCATTATTTTCCATCTCTTCCCTTAATAAAATTCTTTTTCTTCAACAAAAAGTTTTTTTTTTTTAAAAAAAAAAAAAAAAAAGTGTGCAACAATAACAAAGAGTTCCTAAAAGAATCATACAAAAAGGTTTCCACCTCTTGTAATTACAAAGAACATTTGAGGTTACAGTAGTTCTTATAAGAATCCTTGCAAGAAACAGGCACTCCTTCACAGTCTTCAGTGCACCAAGTTATTTATGTATGCAACTTGCTTCCTTGAAACTCCTCTAGTCTCACATCTATAGTATATAACAATGAGAAGGGTAGGTTATTGAAGTTATTACATATTGTACATGTAATAAATGTATAAATAGGCACACAGAAGAATTAAAAGCATCCGTGAGTTTTACTAAGATTAATCACCAAATAGTGCAATTACAATTAAGGAATGCAACTATGAGCATAATCATAGGATTCAAGAGGTTATTAAGCATCTTGCCCTTAGCATAGTTAATAATTGGAACATTTACTGTCTGAGATGCAACAGTCCTCTTCAGATGAGATATTTTCTCACCCAATGGATATTTCATCAGATAATTATGCACTTTAAAGTTTTCTTTTTTCTTTTTCTACAGAGACATAGAAACAAGTAAGAGAAAATGACTGCAGATACAAGAACATACCAGAGGAGATGATAGCAAAGGATATCAGAGTACCAATAGCACCAAATAGCATGATAATCATGAAGTTTCGAAAAAACTACTTCTTTACTTGAAACCTGATGAATAGCATTCAGCCAAAGGCAAAAAAAGAATTCAAGGCATTAACCCAAATCAAAACAAGTTACAAAAACCTCCAATTATAGCACAAAAACAAATCACAATTCCATAAATTCACACCTATCAAATACCAGATCCACTAATAATTTGAAAAATACCTTGCAAGCAATCACAATTCTCAGCACCCTTCCTCACAACATCAAGAACAGTATCAATAAACTCACTGTTTAAAAAAAAAAAAAAAAAAATCAATAAGCTCAGATTTATTTACGTGGTCCTAGAGCACTATCAGATTCACAAAGATGCAAAAGTTGCTGCTCAAAGTATGAAGTAATTCATTATTATCGGCAACAACCAACACCAAATCAGATTATGGATTGCTTAATGTTTGTTCGAATAGTGGCATACCTACTCATCTTCTTTTGAAACTTGTTGTCCACTAGATGCATCCGGCCTCTACAATATGTTAGTATACCGTGTTAATAATTTTATGGAGAAGTGGTTTGGAAATACTCTTAGATCTTGTAAGACGTTCCTGATCCTCTGATTGCCACCTGAAAAAAAGATGAACAGTCCGGTTGGGGGGTGTCGGAATTAGCACTCCGATGGACAGGTTAGTATATCATCTATAGTTTGCTTCTATCACAAGTTATTTAATCTATTCTCACATATTTCTCTTTGGTTGATGTTCCTCTTATTTATACTAGTCTCTGGTCCTAGGGGTCGGGCCCACTCTTAATCCAGCGCACGGTTGCTCATTCGGCCTTTTTGTTGTATGCCAATTCCTACTTGGCTTCTTGTATGGCTGATTTTATGGCCGACTTAGATATTTGGCTTCAGGAACCCCTAGGACAGTGCCGAATAGTATTTGTCTTGATTTCCTTCAAATAGATTTGGCTTTCCTGAGTATAAAAATATTCGACTCCCACAAATTTCCATATGTATATATACAAATTTGATGAAACGTAAAATCCATCAATTTGTAAGTATTGCACCTCTCTCAAGCTCATACTCCCAACCACACCCTGTGACTCTAAGAACAAAATACGTGCTGTCAAGTTCTCAATTGTTGTAATGAACCTAGACTTAACGTCTTATGTCACACGCCGTGTAATCTATTATCTTATCAATAAATGAAGGGGCTATTGATGATTGGGATGGGCCGCTACCTTATGCATACATCATACTCCAAGACCCTAATCTCCTATAGGTCTTGTAATAGCCATGTCCATCCTTCCCAATGATTTTATGGTAAATCCCATTGCAATACTCAATCGTATGTTGCT